TTAACGTTTTTCTTTTTTCTTCGACTTTGAACTATAGCAAAATCTTCTGATTCTAAAACTTCTTCTGAAGGTTTAATTATTAATTCATTGTTTAATGAATTGATCCCAGATGTTCCAGCTTTAGGCGGTGGGTTGTGGTTTTGTGTTTCCGCTGCTGGAAGCCTCTCGAAAATTCTAGGTAGAGATCGTTCAACGAGAATGTCCGTGATTTTGTCAAACACGCTAGGAGATGATAGTGTCTCCTTGACAACTCGTTCAATTAATGCTCTCTGTTCTTTCGATCTATCGATGACGGTTTCCATGATATCGATAAGATGACTCACTTTACCGTTTATATCTTTTTGTGTTTTCACACTTAATCTTTTATCTACGTTCGTAAGGTAAACTCTTAAGTTTTCTTGAATGGCCTTCGCCTCTACTAACAACGGATCCGTTTTACTCTCTTTTTGGTCGGTTATATCAGGCGATCCATTCCTGGCTCTCTTGGCTACAGGTCTTGATCTTTTAGGTTTTTTCTCATCTTCTATCTCTTCTTCCATTTCTATAACACTATCGTCCATAGTAAATAGTATTTTAACACTAATTACTGCAGTGATAACAGTTCTAACCTATCTAATTTAAAATAGTTTAGGAACAGTTATCAGCAATTGTTTGTATAATGCTTTTGTAGTTCCAATGGGAACTTCCTATTATATTTGCTAATAAAGGATTCTAAATTTTTTCTTTTGGTAGTCCTTGATAACTCAATACAATAATACAATTTATTAAACGAATTTGGATAGGTTATGAATAACTTACCTCAACCAGATTTCAAAAAGAGTCTTTTCTGATAAACTTTAATTATTCTAATTATGATACTCTAATTAGATATTAATATTTAGTCTTTCTCTATCTCTAATATCTCTAGATATTAATAGTCTTTATGTACTAAGGTCAAAATTTCGTGGAAAACCATGCGAGGCTTTCTAACCTCAATATCCAAAACTATTTACACTTATAAAAAAAAAAAACACTACAATTAACAAACCATGTCTAAAAAAGTTAATTAACAGTAAACAAACATAAAAAACAACAACATAAACAACACAAAGACAACAATCAGAAAACACACTATACCGCAAATGGTCACAAGCAAGTACAGAGCATGACTCGTGCAAAAACAAAAATATCCGCATATCTTGTAGAGCCTTCACTGTCTATGCAATAGACCTCGTCAAAGCAGGTGAATTCCTTTTCTCTAAGGAGCCTCATCACCTCGAACTTTACCCTATGGTGCCGGCGTGTTATGAGGAGGGAATTGTTGGGGCATTTTCCCAGCACATGGGCTGGTGTTTCCGACTCTCTGCCGCATTTACGACAGAGGGACCCAACTTCCTTCAACTGTCCACTGGCTCCTGGGACTCCGCGTAAAGGTGCGTAATTGATGTTTAGTTTTAATGCGTTGGACCATTCCGACCCCGAAAGCACTTTTTTCTGGCATATGTATTTATTGGCTTTCGGGGTCTCTTTAAAGTGTCGAACTCCAACGCCTTGCCACCTGCAGCTGGCCCACTCTTCAAAAGAATTTTCTCTCAGCGACTGTCGTAGAGCTCTCACGCTTCGGTGGCCCTGATCCACTCCCAGTCTTTCCACACATTCCGCGATTTCCGCATTATAATCAAATGTGGACTGGAACAGGGAATCCGGCACATTAGACAGCCGCTGGGCAATGGACCAATGCTGCAAAGGAGCCTCCCATTGACAGCGGATCAGTCCCAATCCACGAAACCTCCTCGGTGCATAAAACATCGCCGTTGATGCATTAGCAGGGAGCCCGATAATGGCCTTGACACTCCTGCGGATATTTGTATCAATTCCTTCCAATATCGCAGGACGTATCTTTGTGAGGGGCGCCGTCTGAAGAGGGTAAGTAAGTCCCGGGAACACGTACTGGTTCACAACGTTGATCTTCTGCTCCGGCTTAAGAAGGCAAGAGCTAACCAATTTGTCCAAGTTGTTGTTTAATTTTGTCACCATTTCCTCATTTAATAACAATTAAAATAATAGCTATTTTCATTTCATTGTTAACAAAACTTTTTTTTTCCTATCTCTCCAAAATTTTTATTTAATCAATTTACATAAATAGTATACATAACAATACAATATATACAAGTAACAAATTCCTTCCACTGCCCGAGGGCATTTTAAGGATTGGGGATAGCTATGGGTAACATATGTGGCAGAAGGCCTTGTGACTTTCATTGAACGGGGAAGGACTGTTCTACTGATTATTTATTATTTACAATATATACACATTAATGGGTTTGGACCGCAGAGTCCAGACCACCTCCTTCGGCGAGTATGTCCACCAAAGAGAGTTTACCTTGCCACCTCCCAGGTCTGGGTGGTGGTGAGATCTCATTAAACAGTGGGTTTGCACAGGCCTTAAGCCTATCAAAAAATTTGATGTGCCTCCGGCTTATGAACTCGGGTACCGAGGGGGAGCTGGAGTTCCTCGCGTATTGTTTGATTCTTAGCCCTTTGTAGGGTGGTGCCACGGACAATTCGCCGAAGGATAGAATTCTGGAAGCCCTGGAGACTCGTGAGCGTAGATTTATATAGGTATCGCAGGAGAGGGGCCTCGTGGAGCAGTGTAGGTCTTATTATAGCTTTATAAATTTGGAGCTTGAGTCTCAGTGAGAGCTGCAGTGACGTCAGTAGGTGGTAGAGCCGGTGTGATTTCTTTCGTGCCAGCTTGATCCTCTGCCTAACGTGATTTGAGAAGATTAAATGTCTATCCAGCTTGACGCCGAGGTAGACAGTCGAGGTAGAGATTTTATAATAAGCTCCTCCAACGGTGAAATGTGTGGGTAGATGCTTCTTTCCCTTCTGAAACGACATGGCAATAGCATCAGTCTTCGCAGGGTTCACTCTAATACCGATCTCTTCTAGTTCTCCAAAAATAGTGGCTGAAGCATTCTGTGCCAGAGTGAGTGCAGTCTCCGCGTTGACGCTGGAAGCATAGAATGGAATAGAATAGAAAATAGAACTTTATTCTGGGACTAAGTCCCCTTATAATAACAAAGATGAATTAATATAAAATAAAATACCAATCTGGCCAAAAACTAACTTATAAAAATTCTAACATAATATACATTATTTAAAAATTAGTATGTAACCACTAAGAAATAAACAAAAAAAATATACACATATATAAACACACGCACATATATATACATACACACACATACACATATATATACATACACATATATATATATATATATATATATATACACACACACACATATACACATACATACACACACATACACATACATACATACATATATAAATGAACATACAATCTTCTCCAAATTTACTTATTATTACGATTAAAAAAAAAAAAGACAGAAAAGAAATTACATATCTATATATACATAACTGCACAATTTATAAACAATAGGCTATCTAATAGAAACATAATTTAATACAAAATGTAATAATATTTACACTGATTCATAAAATAATTAGGAAACACTTAGATAAAATAAAATCTCAGGAATAATTGTGGTGTAAAGGTAAAAAAGGAACTATATATACGTATTTACTCATATAATTAAATAAAAATAAAAGGATATTGAATATTTAATGGTTGACCGTTGCATTATAAAGGAAGGAGATGGTCCGGGGTTGCGGTCATAAAAAGACTAAATAGTGGTAAAACTATTTTATTGAAAGCCAACGTTTCGACCCGACTTTGCAGGTCTTCATCAGGGCTAGAACGGACAAGATACAAAAGATAGAGAATTGTGGAAATTACATAATATTTAGACATAATTTAAAAACCATGTGAATAAGCTTATTAGAATTATAAACAGTAAGTGCAATACAATACTAAGTAAGCTAAGTAACAAGATCCTAAAATAAAGTAAATAGATGCTAACAATTGTTGTAGTGTAATATATAACAAATGAAAATGTGAGTATAATTCTACAAAAAATACAGAAGAAAAAAAAAATAAGATTAGAGACTTACAGGTGTGTTCCTCTAGGAGTTTCACTTAGAACTGGAAAGGCAGCGGTAAGGATTGCAGGTATAGGGGGAGTTAACATGTGTTAACTAAGTAAAGGATTGCAGGTATAGGGGGAGTTAACATGTGTTAACTAAGTAAAGATTGAAAAACCCAGGAATGTACAGTACCTAGGAATTTTTGAAGATATGGATGGATACAATGGAAAAATACTATATCTATAAATATTAAATTATAAATATATAAATATACATAAAAAATAGAGTTGAGAGATGTGAGAGGTATTTCATGATTCTAGATCAGAGTACAATGTGAATAAACCCAAAATTGGTAAAGAGTAAAATATAAATATAGAAATAACTTCATTAACATACATACATTGCAGAGCTAACTTAAAAGTATAGAGAGGGAAAAGAAAAAAATAAATAAATAAAAAATATAGGGTGGTCATACATTGGTGTAGAGTGTAAATGTAAATTTAGAAAAATAGAAGACCTGCAAAGTCGGGTCGAAACGTTGGCTTTCAATAAAACAGTTTTACCACTATTTAGCCTTTTTATGACCGCAACCCCGGACCATCTCCTTCCTTTAAAAATAAAAGCAGTTTGGACTTAGAGATCTCAGGGCCTAATTAAAATAATTGTTACTAGTGTTGCCTCTCACAGGTCTGAGGGCTCACTATTAGTATAAATAGCAGCCTGGCCCCTAGGGCAGGCACTCTCTCCCGAGTCACTCACTACCTTCTCACATAGGCTCCTGGTATCTCTCTGTCTGACAGTTTGAACCAGACCAATGTGTTATTTTTTGGTTTTACCTTCCTCCTTCTCTATTCTCTCCTAACCTACCTCCTCTCTCCTTTCGTAGGAATAACTCGGTTGGCCCTTGTTTTCCTACAGTCCCCCTTGCATCTTCCAGGTTGTCCCTGGGAGTGTAGGGTTACCTATCCTCGCAATGTCAGGGGATTGCCTCCTCGGTTGCTGAGCCCTGAATGTGTAGGGGTTGTCCCCCTATCATTCTTGGCGGTCTTACCTTATCCTATCCTCGCAACGTCAGGGGATTGCCTCCTCGGTTGCTGAGCCCTGGATGTGTAGGGGTTGTCCCCCTATCATTCTTGGCGGTCTTATCCTATCCTCGCAACGTCAGGGGATTGCCTCCTCGATTTCTGAGCCCTGGATGTGTAGGGGTTGTCCCCCTATCATTCTTGGCGGTCTTACCTTATCCTATCCTCGCAATGTCAGGGGATTGCCTCCTCGGTTGCTGAGCCCTGGATGTGTAGGGGTTGTCCCTCTATCATTCTTGGCGGTCTTACCTTATATACCTTATCCTTCTCATCCTATCTAAGCTTGTACTCCCCATTCTTACAAACTTAAATAGATACACGAATACCAGGTTAATTGACTAACAGAAAGATTAAAGGTTAGAAGGACAGATTTCAGATTTTAAAGACAGACGTTGGCAATAACAGACAGACAGACAGAGAGATAAATAAATGTAAAAATAAAATTATTACAATATATGAAAGAAAAAGCACAACCTGAGGTGAAGAGAAATACAAATAAATAGTAAAAATAATAGTAAAAAATCATTGCTGTTTTATGTTAAAACTTAAACTGTAGGCATCACCATTTACTTCTCACAAATTCAGTTTATAAAACGAAATTTATGGTTGCGAATCGACTGTTTGGGATGTGAGGAGATAGTGGAAAATGAGGTATTTGAAGGTTGACAGTGAAGAGGCATGACGGATGTTATGTGGCAAAGAATTCCAATAGGTGACGGAGCGGGCTAAGAAGGGACGTTCATAGGTTTTTGTCTTGTGTAATGGAATGTAGAGGTCAGAATCACGGGATTTCGTTTTTATTGAGTTGACTAAAGGTTTCGGCTTGAGGAGACAGTAGATATAGGAAGGGTGCTGGGAGTTGATCGATAAGCGGCAGGAAGAGAGGAAGAGCCACTTTGACTCGGAATATAGGTGGGACACATGAGATCAACTCGAAGTGCCGAAGACAAAGCTTAAAAACAGTTCATGATTCTCTTCAGTCTGTCCTCAAGCTCCAACGAGAGGCCACCATATACCACACAGCCATAGTCAAAGTAGGGGAAAATCAATGAGGAAGCGAGGAGCTTGCGGATAGGTTGTGGGAGATGCTGACGAGAACGATGAAATAGTTTAAGTGTACCAATTGACCTTCTGGAGATATGAGCAATATGGGGTTTCCATAATAGGTTTTGATCAATGGTAATTCCTAAGTTTTTTACAGAGGGGGAGAAGGAGATTGGCTGGTCATTAATAAACAAGGAAGGAAGGGTGGAGATGGATCTAAGGAGGGAGTTGGAACCTATAAGAATTGCCTGAGGTTTTGATGCGTTTAAGTTTAAATTATTCAAGCTTGCCCAGGCACTGATCCTATCTAGGTCTTTCTGAATATTCATAAACGCTTCTAATAACTCAGTGGGGGGGAAAGGAAAGATAAATTTGGGAGTCATCAGCATATAGATGGTATGAACAATGGTGGATTGAACTAGGAAGGTCATTGATGTAAGAATTAAAAACGATAGGAGAAATGCTTGAACCCTGGGCTACTCCATGAGACAAAGTGAGGAAAGAAGATAAGGGTTCATTCGGAATACTAACAGCTTGAGTCCTGTCAGATAGGAAGAATTGGAACTATAGGATAGAACTATTGGAGAAGGATAGTGATTTTAATTTAGTAGAATGGTCTAAGGAATCGAATGCTTTCGAGAAGTCCAGGAGTACCAATACAATCAGTTTTCTTTCGTCAATTGCAGTATGTATGTCGTTTGTGATTTTGACTAAAGCGGATTGAGTGGAGAAACCCGGGCGAAAGCCAGATTGGAGAGGATCTAAAAGTTTGAACTCTTCGAGAAAATTGGAAATTTGGGATTGGACAATTCTTTCGAGGGGTTTTGACAGATTTGAGAGGATGGAAATTGGACGATAGTCTTTAGGAAATGTGGGGTTAGGAATTTTGTTAATAGGACGGACTAAAGCTTTTTTCCAAGATGTAGGAAAAACAGAATTTTAAAGGGAAAAGTTATAAATGAATAGAAGAACTGGAAGGATTTCAGGGAGGCATAATTTTAACAGTTTGACGGGTATACCGTCAATTCCTATAGAGTCGGATTGGGATTTCATTATGGAGGAAATAAGGTTCATAGGAGTTATGTAGGAAAAATAAAAATTGTCACTATTAAATGCAGACGATACAGATATATGGGAAGAGGCGGGAGAAATATTAATAGAGGAGGAGGATAAAAAGTAGGAATTTAAAGCATCAGGAGAGACTGGGACAGCTGTGGAAGAAGATGATTTGGAAAGAGACAGCTTCCGGAGTAAATTCCATTTGGATTTGAAATCGGAAGCCGAGGAGAAGGCTTCATGATAGTAATTGGTTTTCGCCAGCGTGATCGTTGTTTGCGTCAAGTTATGGAGTACCCTGAACGCTTCGTAGTCATCTGCAAGCCTGGTTCTTCTAAAGCGTCTACGGGCTGCCTCACGTCTCTTTTGCATATTTCGAATTTCTTGACACATCCAAGGAGCAGGCTGGCGGCGGAATATAGAGGCTTTAAGTGGGGCATGGGTATTGAGGATATGGAGGAGATTAGAAGTCAGGATATCTCAATTTAAACAGGATAATTTCAACAAAAAGATATTCCATGTGGGGACAATTGGAAGGGAGTGAGATATCTAGGATTCGGGATTTTAGGCTATTATGGACGTAAAGACCCACACCAACACCCGTTCGTGTAACCCAGTCGTGGCGGATAAAGGTGTGATCGGGTAAGGAGACCGAAGAGGATGGGATGTGGGGTTTTAGCCATGTTTCGGAAACTGCAATAGTATGGTAAAAATTACAGGTAAAATATTGCTGAAATTCGTCGAAATGGGCTGGTAAGGATTGGGAATTAACATGACAAGAGATCAGGATACTAGGCATGATGGATAGGAAATAGAGAAATATGATGAAAGGCAGCTGAAATATAATGAATGACATTTAAAGAGAAGCAAATAATGGTTAAGTACAAATAATAATAATAATAATAATAAGCAGCAATGATAAAAAAAAAAAAATAAATAAACATGAGTAAATAAAAGAATACGTCAGTTGTGCTAGAGAAAAAATAATGACAAAACAGAAACATAATACGGCAGAGTGATTTATAGTAGGCAACGCTTAACATTTCCGAGTTATGACCATCAAATTGACGAATGTCAAACCGTCAGCAGAAAATGTCAAGATCTTGTGGCTGATTGATATAAATCACTGGGTGTCCATCTTCTTTTCTACAACGAACTCTGCCCCCCGCAAACCATAAATATTTTAGTTTGCCTCCTGCTCTTTTCTGACGGGCGAGCCAGTACAGACGTCTATTGATAGGAGACATTTCTTCGCCAAGATATATTCGGTGGGAGTCGTTTTCTTGCCAACCAATATCCCTGGTAGAAAAGTCCCTTTTTACCTTTCTTCTTTGCACCAAGTCGTCGCGTAGAGACTGCCTCACAAAACGAGCGATCATGGGTGGTGGTCGGGGATCATCTTTTCTTGGTCTCCGTCGCACCACAAAGTTGATCTTAATCCCAAGGCCGGCTCCCACGCTGGCTACCAAGGCCGATGGAGTCTCTCCCGGCCATACCGGGATGCCGCGAATTTCTATTGTTCTACGAAGTAGACCTTGCTCGGCTTTGTTAACACGCACCTCAAGTTCGCCTACTCTGGTTTTCAGCATCTTATTTTCTGAGGAGAGTTCTTCTAGGTGTTTCGCTTGGGTTTCAAGGTGTCCTTCTATTTTTGTTAACCTCTCCTTCAACTCGAAACTGAACTCACCATACTTCTCAAGCGACGTTCTTAAATTTTTAATATCCTTGTTTAGGGAACACATCAAAATTCATATTTAAATTTAGTTTGAATTGGATCAAGAAACCACATCACAGCTGTTATCTCGGAAATGCTGCATATATGACTCAGTTGTTATTGTGACGCCGCCATTGTTGAAGCGTAGACGCTCACGTACCGTGAGAGATTGACTAGACTACTGGCCAGTTAAAAATTTTGTGATTCCACTGATTTAATAAACATGGAGTAAAACACTACAGCGGCCGGCAAGGGGCCAAGAAAGGAAGAGAGAGAAGATGAACAAGAAGACTGTCAACTAGAAGAAAAGAGAAAATGCAAGTATCCCAACCCACCTATATTTAACCTCCGTATAAAATAACATGTAATAAAATATAGCAATCAATTTAAAATATTCACTTTTTTAATCCATTAACTCCTCTAATTTTACAGTCCACAGCAATAAATTATCACCAGCTCTTAAAGCAGAATTATTATGACAATAATTCCTGACAGCCTTGGAAGGGATTGGCATAGTAAAATAAACAATCCTCATTGACCTGTTCACCGAGCTTGTTGACGGCTATGAGAATATCCGATGAGGAGGGTTCTCTGGTGTCGCTCTTGGATGGACTGGCTAACTTATCACTAGGTGGGGCATCCATAGGTGGGGAAGCATATATGCCAATGTCGTCAGCATAGGTTGCTACCACCGCCTTTGGATGCTTGAGTGCCACCACAGGCGCCGTGAAAACGACGAACAGTATTGGCCCCAACACATACCCTTGAGGTACTCCGCAGGTGGTATCGACTGGATTTGAGTAGTCTGTAACAAATCGTACGACGAGAGATCTTCCGCTGAGGTAGCTTCGGATCAGTCGGCATAGAGTGATAGGAAACCTGAACTCTTCCAGACGGCGAAGTAGATGCGTGTGTGACACGCAGTCAAAGGCCTTACTGCAGTCCAAAGAGATGAGCGCCGTAGCTCTGTTGAGACTCATTTCATCTATTGTGTGGGCCTGACGTTTAGCTAAGTATTGTTTACACGCGACCCTTCTCTGAAAACCAATCTGCTCTAGTGGTATGATGCTCTCTTTCCAGCAGTGCTTCATAAGGTGATGGTGGATTAGCCTCTCGAAAATCTTGCTGATGTGCGAGAGGAGGCTGATCAGACGATAGTGCTCAGCCGACTCCCCGTTCTTCGCCGGCTTGAGTAACTGTACAACGATCGCTTGTTTCCATGCGGTAGGAAAATGTTTGTTTTTTTCTATTCATTAATTAAATGTTTCTAGAATTCATATTGATACTATTTTAATTAAATATAGTAAATAATTTTGGAAGGATTAATTAAATCCACACCTCTCGTTAACCAAAGGCTTTTTTTCGTTTAATTTAACATCTATGGTTT